CAATTATGACAGTATACTGGTGCCTTCTCCAACTATTCATTTGCTATTTCCCAATAAAATTAAGTTTTATATATTTGTGGTGCATGTGTGTGTGTATGTGCTTCTAAAACAAAAGGATCCACGATATTTCTATGTAGAAACTAAAAGTATTCACAAAATAAAACTGATCATTCAAATTAATAGTAACAAAGATGATTATAAAAAACTAACTTTGTCATGATAATTTAACAGCAGCAGAATTACTAGGATGGAGTCATCAAATGAGGAACATATCTATTGTTCATTGCATTTAAAACTTTGCCAAGTCTCTTCCATACATCAGTGAAGTAGCAAATGTTTTTTTAAATTATATAATTTTTTAAAACTATATATTATTACCAGTTAGAATACTTTTGTAAGACAATTCATTAAATTCCTTTGCCATGTATTGATTTGAAAGCATGAAGCACAACATGGGAAACATTTTAATAACAATTTATTTTCTAATATTTTATTCATTTTTAGAATAAAAGATTGACTATTTGCTTTAATTTTGTTAGCAAAGCTTGAAGAGCAAATCCTTATCTGCAGTATTCTCAGAACATCAATCCTCATCCTCATCCTCATTATCACTATCATCATTTTAGCCATTGTAGCATCCACTGCAGGATTTAAATATATGTGTTAAAAGAATTGAACACAAATATTAAAATATTTGTACTTTGGGAAATACTCTTGTACATTACTTTAAATGGCTACCTAATATCCTTTACTCCTTGGCTCTGTTTTTTATGTAAAAGGGACACCTTATACATGCTGATCTGTTTCCCTTTAATTTAAGAAAAATATACATTTGTGGATGTTTCAAAAGTGTAAACCATTAGTTGCTTTAGAAAGCTGTTTACTCCCACCATTCAGAGAGGTTTTCCAAACATTTTGTGGTGCATGCAAGTCCTGCTAAACAGTTCACTAGTTGTTCTACTTCCTTCACACATTATATATAAAAATCTTGGCACAAATGTTCCTGTTAAATACAAGGCAGATGAATTTGTACTGTGGGTCGGAAACAAATGGCTACAAACAAACCATATTTTCATTAGCTAATTCTAATGACTTGTCAAACAGTATAATAAATTATCTTTCCTTTTGCTCCTCAATTATCTAAACAGTTTGACCTAGATGGATTTGAATGTGTGTCAAGTCTTTAAGAATCCAATTAAAAATCACACTTTTATTTAGTTCACCATTATGAGGCAGTATCTCACTTTTATATACTTGACTTGATCAGAGGAAAAAAGGATCAAGGTGAAATTCACAGGAGAGCAGCTGATTCCAAATGGCTGGTTCAAACTATGAATAAAATTCCACTGTATGTTTCTGCTGCTGCCATGTACCCCTTCCATTATCTTCATAATTTGGTCTGGAGAATATCCCAATTCATGTAAATATTTTAGGAAAACGCAAAGCGTAAGAATAGTACTCTGCAGTCTCTTAACTTTTCACACACATGCTGCTGGAGAGCCACAAATATTATATGGCAGAAAAACATGGGCATAACTATACTGTTTTGTAAATTTTAGCTAGTTTTGTAACTTCTATTATTTTACAAACACTTAACAAACAGATGAAATAATCTTACTTGCTCACCTGAAATTTCTTGCTCACTTAGAAGTTTTGTTTTTATGTACGCAACTCAAATTCATGGTATCTGAATTATACTCCATCCAATTGGAGTATAATTATCCTTTCTTTTTATACTTTCCTGGATTTTGTGATGCAGAATTAAATAAATCATATTAGGACATATTAGGACAACTACGGACATATTTTTAATTTAATCTAAAAATGTATGTATATAAGATGGGCAGATCAAGAAGCACATCAAATCTAGTTCTTCGAAGTATGTGCATCATCTTCTGAAAATGTTTAAATCCTGAATCAAAACCAGCATTTCTACTACATATGGTGTTTATCTTCTCCTCTAAACTCAATACTCCATTTTGGCCTAATTTTTGTTACTGGTTCAGAAACTCCAATGTCTTTCTGAAAACCAGTAGAAAAAAAAAATAGCTCCGTAAGCACCACAATGGTGATTTCAAAGATTGAAAACTTGTTAAGGTTTCACAATTATTCTAATAACCATATAATAGATGAAACCATTTTATAGGAAGGGCTGAAACCAGTGCAAACAGCCAACAATTGCATCAGTATAAAGGCATATCATGGTCAACATGTGACAGATATTGATTAGTCCAACAATACCAGCATAAATGGACCCCAACACAGTACAGCTCTCAACACAGATTATTCACTAGATTATTTCCTATTGGTCCTAAAATTAGCTTGAAAAATCATAGTCCAATTTCTTTCTGAAAACCCCGGATGGAATCACTAATGTATATATTACAGTATACAGCTGGCTAGTAATTGTTTTCCTGTGAGGTTTTAAAAACTTCTCTGTAATAGTATCAAAATAATAATTGCTATGAATATAACTTTCATATAGCTTTAAATAACTATAAATGCAATTATTTTTAAATAAATCACACATTCATCTACAACAGGGCTTTTCAACCAGTGGTACGGGTACCACCTGTGGTACATTGGCATCTGGCAGGTGGTACGTGACCATCCTAGAAAAGTGGTAGCGAGGGAGGGGAATGAGCTGAACCGGTGGCAGCACCGCACAAGCCTGAGTGAGAGATGGTTGGAGCTGCAGGGCTGTCAGGGCTCAGCGAAGGCGCCAGGATCAGTGTCGCTTTCCAGCTGATCGGCGCTTCTTCAGGGCTGTCAGGGCTCAGTGGAAGCACCAGGATCAGCGCCAGGCTCCAGCTAGAGCTCGGCGCTGATCCTGGCACTTCTGCTGAGCCCTGAAGCGCTGATCAGCTGGAATGTTGCAGCATCTCCAGGGTCTTGTGATTTACATTCAGATGCTTGGCAACTGATTTATATTTTTGACGGTTACAGTGTCCCAGACTCATGTGAAGTGACCAAAACCTGCTGCAACACCCAGCAGACGGGGGGAATAAAAACCAAACACCCACACTGACAAGTCCCAACAGAAATGCTCACAACAATGAAAACCTCGGACAGGAGGAAGAGTGCCACTGGGTGGGCAGGAAGGTGTCTTGCTCAGCTGTGGCTTGGGGGGCAGTTTTTTCAGTGCCATTGTAACTTCGAACAGTCATTAAGCGAACTGTTGTAAGTCGAGGACTACCTGTACTTTTATCACTTTTTTCCTTTTTTTTTTTTTTTTTGGTCATCAGGTTTTTGACACCTTACTAGGTGACTGGTGGTATTTGGATATTGCCTTATCCTAAAAGTGGTACTATGGGTGAAAAGGTTGAAAAGCCCTGATCTACAAGATGTTATATATGAAGCAATCAAATAAGCCAGTGGCCCCAACCTTTTGGGCGCCAGTGACAGGTTCCGCTGAGGGTGTTTTTTCTGCAGATTGAGGGGGGGGCATGGTTTCATACACTGCCTGGATCCCATGTGTCTGCTGATGGCACTTTGCTTGCTTGTACGGTCTGTTTCTGTGCCGGTCCACGGCCTGGGGGTTGAACACCCCGAAATAAGCCATCATATGCAGCAGCTTTTACTGTAGGGAATAATAGTCACTTCAAGCCTACTTATGTTAGAAGAACAGGACTGAATGTCAAATATACAATAAAACTTCTAAAGTAATATGAGTAATGACAAATCAGTCTCAAATAAGGATAAAATCAAAATGTACTTGATAAAGGTAATAATCCCACACTTAAATGCCCTTAAAAGTTTCAGTATGGAAAGACTCTTTATCAACCTGAAAGATCAAAGTCTAATTTCTGAAAGGAGGATATAAGCCACAGAAACTTTTATAGAGTGAATGTGCAAATTTACTATCAAGACATTAATAAAGTATAGAAAACTCACAAAAGCAAATATGTACAGAAATCCTGAATTTTGATAAGCAGGGATGTTTATTGTCTTCTCCAAAGCATTACTAATATTTTACTATTTTTAAAAACAATGCTATTCTTAAAAGAACTATAACTATTACCTACATAAATATTCTGTGAGTTGCTCTTGTGGACTTGAATTTAATTTTAAACATTTTGACATTCATATAAATCCCAACAATTTCAATGAGTCTTACTTTCTAATCAGTGCTATTAGTTCTAATATGTGTTCCTACAATGCAGCCATAAGCAAACTCTTTGGATTATAATGTCAGTTTACTATTATTAGTATATTACATTTTCCAAATTTCATCATCACCACCATTGCACTTTTCTGAATAACTCTAATAATATGGATTCAATAATATATTGTCTTAAAATTATGTACATTTTGAACTATATTGCCAGTCACATGCAAATTCATTCAGCAAAATTAATATTGTAATTAAGAGGTGACAAGAACATTAAGATAGTTTTTTATCCCACTTTTTCATGTTTTCAATATTGTGTGAATGGGATATTGCTGACATGATACACTATAAAATAATTAGGTCAGTCTGTCATACCGTGAAAAACATGATTTATCCATAATAATGATCTGTATCTGAGATTTATACACTGAAAATATATTAGAGAAGTTCTAAACCCAGCAATGACTGTTTGAGATATAAAATACATCATAGAACATTTTATGAAATTATGTTCAATTTTAAAGTATAAACATTTAAGATTAATATAGCTTTATACTTCTCTGGATTATAAAATTCAACTTAGTATCCATAAGCACATCAGAAAATATTATTATTCTGACATAATTAAAACCATTTAAGCATTTATTATTATTTAAATAGTATTCAATATTATTTAAATATTTTATAATATATTTAAATATAGCATAGAAAATTTCTAGTTATCTTTGGAAAGTAATTTGACAATAAATACATGCATGTGAATAAAATCCAAGGATAATTCTGATACTGGAGCTCTTGAAATAGGAAAAAATACTAAATGTAAGTTTTACTAGAAAATATTATTTTCAACATGAAGTATGAAACTATCAAATGGCAAAAAATTTCTTACTGGTAAACTTGAAGGCCTCTCTTGTTGGATTAGGGTCAGTTCTTCATGGTTAGGTTTGTTCTGGGTGACAGGGGGTTGAGACCTGGTTCCATAGCCTTCCTGAGACATTTCCTAGATAAAATATATATTTACATGTTAGTATTAGGAAACATTAGCAATGGTAAAGAAAAGGAGAGCAATTAATTATAGGACTGATCTAGTTTTATGTTGATAGCTTCTCCATTCCCCCTCCCCACAATCTCAACTAAACCTCAGTATACTCCCTATTGCTTTGCACACATGTACAATATCTACAGTGTATATCTGCTGAAGTTCTAAAGCAGGGGTCTTCAAACTTGGCCCTTTTATGACTTGTGGACTTCAACTCCCAGAATTCCACAAGTCATAAAAGGGCCAAGTTTGAAGACCCCTGTTCTAAAGAAAGCATCCTATAGATTCCGGAGTGCATCCTATTTTATTAAAAACAAGTTGCAGTGATAAGAATTAAATGGCATGCCATTTGTTAATATTGTACATAGGATTCAATTCAATTTAACTCTACAGCAAAGTCAAATTATACTGCTTGGGGATGGAAAAAATTAAGATGAATACGGAATGGATATTGTACCTCTGCTTTTTCAGAAGGTTTTAGGTTGTTGTTGTTGTTTTTAGCAAACTGAATACACCCAGAGGCAACCATTGGCTGAAGATGGAACTGCTGCTCCAAGCTTGATTTTATCTTCCCTAGCCATTTTGTTAAAAAATCTGTATAAGGATACTTTGAAATTGTGGGAAAAGAGTATTTTATTTTTCTATAGCTATGTATAACAGCCTCCTGCAGAATAGTATAAATATCAGAAGACTCTTGAATTAGCATTAAAAAAATAATCAAAGCAACATTTCAAAAAAGTACTAATAAATAAAGTGTCTAATGAGATTAAGCATTTGTCCACAGCACATGAAGTAGATCATACAGCCATCAGGGTAAATAAATATTCTTTATATTTCTGTCCCAACCCCTCTATGATCTTGTCCTAAAGTGCAGATTGGGATTTCAGTAAAGTTCAATTCTAGTCTGTATACCCAGATGTTACTTCCACAGTAATGTAAATCAAACTGCAAAAATCAATCTATGTCAATGGAATTTATTTGGACTACAGTATAATTTTCAAATGGAAGTCAGAGAGATAAAAGAACAACCAAGCTGTTCCAAAAGATTACGTGTAAATTTAAACATATTTTAAATTCATTAAAAGATATAATAAATATAACAAGGCTTATGAAGCATATTCACAAACCAGGTTTCCTTTTTCTTATATAAATAAAGTATATGTATGCCACAAAATAAAATACCTATATTAGCATCTATGACCATCACAGAAAAAAACGAGGAATGAAGCTTCCAAGAAATAAGGATAATCCCCCCCCCTTTCCCTTCAATTGTGGATAATTCCTGGAGACTGCCTGGATGAAGTTCTGCCATTTCCTTGGCAAGGTTTTTCAAAAGTGGATTGCTACTGTCTCCTTCCTAGGGCTAAGAGAAAGTGACTGGCCCACGGTCCCCCACCTGGTTTTGTGTCTAAGGTGGGACTAGAACTCATGGCCTCCCTGTTTCTAGTCTGATGCTTAATCACTACATCAAACTGGCTCTTAAGGAAAAACTAACGTATCTTTAATTTCAAAAGGATATGAGATTTTGTTATGTTTTGTTTATCTTTCTTACTCTTCCCTATTGTTTAATAAATTATTCTTTTAATTTGTTTTTTCCTGCCTTTTAGTTGGTAATTTTAATAAACAACTGAATGGAACAATTATTTTTACATGAATCATATTTAGCCTTGAAAAAATGGAAATAATTTTTAAACAGCACCCTGAACAGTTATGGCACTGCTTCTTATTGGTATTCTGTCTGGAGTGACCAGACAGAATACTAATAAGACTAGTTAGTTAAAGATTTGCTGTGTGCATTAAACAGGCACCAAGAGATGACGGTAAAGGCAATGAGAGGTCTCAGTCTTTGAGGGGAGCTGTATTTGGGGATGGATTTTCTTTCAGGGGAAGTTTGTTGAGAAGGTGGCTGTATGACAGCTTCTTAGGATCTTGGGTCATCAGGATTCTTATCCAAATATGGGATGGAAACAGCATTGTTTACACTTTTTGATGATCTCTGGTGTAGGCAGGATGGAGGTTGTGAATCCAGCCTTGCCCTATTTGAACTCGGACTTTCAATACCATCAATCCTGGTATCCTTCTGATTGGCTTAGAGGACTGGGGTTGGCTGGTGCTGTGCTTTGCTGATTGTGCTCCTTTCTTGATTGGTGATGGTTGGAGAGGATAGGTCTCAGCCCCTACTGTGTGAGGAGCTAGAGAGTTCAGTGTTCTCTCCTGTTTTATTTAACATTTATATGAGACCACTGTGTGAGTTCATTCATCATCATGAATGATGAATGTTAATGATACACAATTATATATTTCTGCCCCAGGAAATTAAGTGATGCCAAGAACATCTTATCCTGGTAAGAGTTGGATGGGGAACAACACGCTTCAGCTAAAACTGGCAACACTAAGTAGCTTTGGGTTTGGGGTCTAGGTTCTAGGAATATGCCATCTTTGCAATGTATGGAATTAGAGCCCTATCAGATTTATGACATCTTCTCAAAAAGTAGGTAACATTTATGGCTAGGAGGTTCTTTTCACAGCTTCATGTTGTGTATCAATTGCACCTACCCTTAGATCGGGAGGTTCTGCTCACAGTCTCTCATGCCTTCTTCACCTTCAGATTGAACTACTGCAATGTGCTCTACATGGCGCTGCCCTGGAAGCTTCAGTTCATGCAAAATGCAGCAGTATAGCCAGTTATGTGTACTCCCACAACATGAGCTGCTTTGGCTACAAATCGTCTTGCAAATCCAATGCAAGATGCTAGTTTTAACCTTTAAAGCCCTTCATGGCAGGGGGCTGGTTATCTGAGGGACCACCTCTACTCGATTACATCTTCCTTATTATAGCTGCCCATTCCATTAGATCTGACAGAGAAGGCATGCTATGGGTATCGTTTGCTAGGGACTTAATTTTGGTGGGTCTAGGACAGTGATGGTGAACCTTTTAGAGACCAAGTGCCCAAAAACTGGCCCCGCCCCTTCTCCATCCCCTGCCCCGCCCCTGCTCCATCCCCACCCCACCCCCACCCCACCTGCCCGCAGAGCCACTCACCGCCTCCAGGGCCCACTGCAGATCACCCAGGCAGCCTAGCAGCGCCATGGCGGCCACGCCCTCTGCCCACACCCCACAGCATCAACTGTACAGGATGAGGCATGAGGGCAGAGTTTTGTCTACGCTGCCTGGCTGCCATGTCCTTGGCTCCGCTGCTCCGTGTGGGCCACGCTCGGGGCGACTCTCCTCCAGGGGGGCTGCTGGTGAGGAGGGGGTCACGGTGGGAGGCAAGGCTGGAGCAATGGCACGTGAGCCCACAGAGAGGGCTCCGAGTGCTGCCTCTGGCACCCGTGCCATAGGTTCACCACACTGGTCTAGGAAATGGGCCTCCTCTGCTGTGAAGCCTGACTTATGAGACATTCTTCTCCCCTCACACAAGCCAGGTTAGCTCCATCCCTGGTAACATTCCAGAAATCCCTCAAGTCCTGGCTATGTCATCAGGATTGGGTGTCCTAGAGAACTGGTAATATTCTTAAGATGGCTCCACTCTTATGGTTGATATATTTACTCTCTTCAGGTCTTGTGGTTTATATATTTTAATTTTTAATGGAATATTTAATTTTTAATAGATTATTTTTATATTCAATACTGATTGTTTTTATGTATTATTGTTTTATTTGATTGTTGTATGCTGTCCAAAGTTGCCCCTTGTGAGATGGGCAGCCATATAAATTTGATAAATAAAACATAATTTATTATTTATTTATAACATTTATTGGCCGCCCATCTTACCTCAGGGTAACTCTGGGCAGCTTACATAGTATATATTTAACTATATAACTATACTAATATGAATAAATGAAATAAAAATATTACCAAAGGGTACCTCCAAATGCAAAACATAAATCTGTAGTTTTAATCATCATTGTCTTCGCATTTTGGTAGGTTAAGAGAAATAACATTTTTCTATTCCAATTTAGATGGAAGTTCAGTGCAGTGAAGTCTGCTAATAATGATAGCTCAGCTTAGTCATTTCCTTTATTCTGATTGCTAGAGTAAAGATGTCAATTGCCGTTTCTATAACATAAAATAAATAGTGTTGGATTTTAAAAGTTCAGCTTCTTTTTTGACTTCCATTCTTCTTTTAACTATGTGCCAAAAATAATTTTAGAAATCCAGCTCTCCCCTTTGGTTATTACCAGTTAGGCTTAAAAGTGACAGAGGCTGATGGGTGAATAATTATTAATTGTGATCCCCTCCCTCTTCTCCTCCTACGTTGACACAGCCTTCCTACTGGGTAGGCTAGCATGTTCCCCTAGATTAACAGCATGGTTTAAATCAACAAATGGCACCCAGCCCTCCCTCAGTTAAAAAGCAAGATAGATTTCTAATAGGCTAACAAATGAGCAATCTTTTTCCTCCTTTAAATTTAAATCCTACCTCAAAGCTTTTTATCAGTATAATAGTGTCTCCAATAAATTCTCTGCAACAACAAAAACTAACACTTAACAACACTTATATTGTTTATTCAATCAATCTGTCTACTTTCTCATTGACTATTCACAAATAAGCCAGCATTACAATAGAATTGAGCTTAAAGTTTGAAAACAGGCAGCCAAAGTGGAGAGGAGAGAGAGAGGCATTGACAAAGAAAAGGATCGAGGAGGAAAGGGCACAAGAGAGGAGGTAAAAAACCAGACCTATATTTTGCATTTCTCATAGCCAGTTCCTAACATGGAGAGGGAAAATAGTTTACATTTAAAAACTTTAATAGTGGTTTAAGAATGAAAAAAAAAATCAGATGATCAATTAGGACTAAAAGAAAACTGCCTTTAAAAATAAAACAGCATGAATTTCTATGCAATAATATTAAGTGCAGTCTTTGTTACTACTTATTCAGTGTAACCATTTCCTAATGCAGCTCAAACTATTAGCTTTGTAAAATATGATCATGAATTACATCATTATCCTATTCCAAG